CTGTCCTATAAATGAAATTAAATAAGGGAACAAAGAAGAGATGGAGGAAGAGAGATGCCAAGTCATAGGAAGATCACTCAGGAATAGAAGCTTACAAACAAGTACCTTCTTCTAGAGACAAAAGAGGTGGAAAGCCTTCCTTTCAAGGCATCATCCTAAATTTGGACTTCTAGCTTCCTAAACTATGAGGTAAAAAATGTTTGTTTCTTAAAACTGTCCACTTGTGCTATTTCTGTTATAGCAACACTAGTTAACTAAGACAACCACCTTAAGTGTGTGTATAGAGGGCAGAGTTGTCCATTTTTAAGAAACGTGGCAGTGTCCCCCACAAAGCGGTTTTCTGTGTGAACTGACCTCTGAATCCTCCCCACCCTTATCTGCCATGCACGGTCAACCTTACACTGAATCTGGGAAATAAATGATTGGGTCTGTATATTAGCAGAAGGTACCCATGGCTCTTGGCTTTTGAAGTCATGTTGAAACCCTAAGTCAATGAAGCAAATAAGTGATTCAATAAACTATAGAGAAAAACAAAACAAAGCCAACCAACACTCTTCTGCTGCCTAACTCTGAAATGCACAACTTGGGACTTCAGTTAACCTTTAAACTTACTTAGAAATTCATACGGAAAGAATTCAGTTTTTCTCAGTTGCCTACTTTTTAGCAACAATGGTGGTGGTGGTTATGCACTGTGGAGTCATTTTCGACCCTGTATAAGGTTTCCAAGACTGTAAATCTTTTTGGAAGCTGAAAGCCTCCTTGGAAACCCTGTAGTGGTTAGGAGTCTGGCTGCTAAATGCACAGCTTGGAACTTCAGTTAACCTTTAACTTCATTTCTCGATGCGGAGTAATATTCTACTGTGTGTATGTACCACACTGTGTTTATTCATTGATCTGTTAGTGCACATTTCTGTTGTTTCTACTTGTTTGCTCTTGTGAAAAGTGCTGCAGCAAACATTGATGTACAGGTTGCTTGTTGATCTTTATCCTTTGCTCCTTCAACTTTTGCCTCCAGCTCCTGCAAAAACTCCTATTTTTAACATTCAGCACCACAGTCTTCCTTTATTTCATGGTTGCAGGCATAACACCATCATCACTTACACACATTATTAGCCAAAACTATTGCCCACGACACAAACTAAATGACAGACAAATAGGTGACAAAGGAGTAAACAACACATCACCATCATCTCATACCTGAATTGTTTATAATAGCCTCCTAATTGCTCTTCCTCCTTCTGTGCCTGCCCCTACTAGTTATTCTTCACAAGCAGCCAAAGAGCTCTTAAAAATGTCAGTCAATTTACATCACTCCTGGGCTCAAAATCTTCCAATGGCTTCACTTCCCCTCAGCAAAACTAGAACTTCGCTTCACTTTTTTCAGCTCTTTGCTCAAACGTCTTATTGACAAGGTCTTCTCTGACAACCCCACATAAAAGACTAAGTCCTCTTCTCCCAGCCCCCTCACCATTTCCCAACCTCCCCTATCCTGCTCTGTCCCCCTTCCATAGCACCTATCACAGAATCATACAGTATATATCAATAATGAATTGGAAAGAATTACTAGCTCAAATTACTCTCATATTTATGAAATGAATTAGAATGAAGTGGGTGAAAATGGGTGGCTGCAGTGTGTGTGTACAAGAGTAAATTTAAAAGTTACTAGGGCTCCAGCTCCAAATAAAACATGGAATCTTGGTGTGGTGCTGGTCCACCAACCACAAGGTCAGAGGTTCAAACCTACCATCTGCTCTTTGGAAACCTTTATTTAGGGTCACTATGAGTCAGAAGTGACTTGATGGCACTTAACAACAACAACATTCCAAACAAACTGGATTTATTTCCAAGAACATGTTTTACCATTCTTTACAATCAGCTGGATGGCTGCAGACAAGGTCTCTCAGTAATAGTCTCATTAGGGTGCCTTCCAAAAAAAAAAAAAGATACTTTTTGTGCCATGGGGGTGGGGTGGGGAGCTATTTTGAGGTCGGGGCTAATATTAAGTTTTTTATAAAACTAAAGTGGATATCTTTCTAAATCATTGAAGCTTTTCCACAAGTTTATAGGAATGAAGCCTCACATAAAACAACAGTTTTTTTTGATGGATCAAGTGTTTTAAGGAAAGTTGAGAAGACCTCAAAGATTAGCCAAGAGAGAAAAGACAATCAACCTGGATGAATGAAGAAACCATGGCTGAAATCCAGAAATTGGTAGAAGGACTGTAGAATTACCATTGATGTGCTGGTGATTGAAATTGGGATCTCATATGGGTCATTATTTAAAAATTTAAGTGACCATCTTTGGCCTCAGCAAGCTTTTGGCTGGATAGGTGCCAAAAGCATTACACAAAGATCAACTAGCTCAAAGAGCTGATCTTTCCATCAGTCTTTCAAAGAAGATAAAAGCGAATGAAGACAATTTTGTATGGAATGAATCATAACTAGGGACAAGTCTTGGATTTACCAATAAGATCCAGAGAGCAAAGTTGAATTAAAACATTGGCTTTTGAGGATATCTACTGGGCTAATAATGGAGTCCTGGTGTGGTGCTGCAGGTTAGTATGCTGGATTGCACAGTAGTTTTGAACCACAATGTCGGAGGTTCAAGCTCACAGCAGCTCCTTGGAAACCCTAAACAGGATTGCTTAGAGTCAGAACTGGCTTGACAGCATTTAGCAACAACAGTTGGTCCAGTTAAATTTAAGACACAGAAGTCAGATCAGAAGGTTATAGAAACTTTTTTTTTTTTTAATTTTTAAAATTCATTCCAAAGGGGTAATTTTGTTTTTTAATGTTTTATTGTGAATTATGTGATAGTTTACATGGGAGAACATTAGTTTCACATTCATCCTATCGAATATCATTTCATTGCCATGGTTACAATCCCCTCCATGCATCATCAACCAACCAAAGGGTATACACTACAAGCCTGCCCCCTGGTCATCAGCACACAGCCCCTCTCCCTCTCTGTGTCTAAAGTCCCCAACTGCTCCATCTCTCCACATCATCATCTCTGCCTCCATCTCAGGCATCACTGTTTCTCTGGGTAGGGTCCTACTCTCTGCTCTTCTTCCTTGACGGTCCCAGGCACCTCTGCTCCTAGGCTGAGGAACTAATCACTCCCCCCCCTTGCTACAAAACATCTACTTTTTCATTTCCAACCCTCACAAGCAGTCCTGATAACAATTATTCACTATTGTATCACAAGAGACCTATCTGCATTTCATTTCATCAGCCCCGCCTAGACAGATTGGATACTACTCAGTGGAGATTCTACCTTCCCAAAGGTGTAATCTTGATAGTTGAGGGACACAGATTGATCACAGGGGTTTATTAGTAATAATAAAATGGAAAACTAGAGAAAAAGGCCGGGAAAATCGTGTGAGGAAATTACAATTTGAGTTCTTTGAGGATGCCCAACCTATTGCTTTGATGGGGAGTAAATCAAACAGAGCAGAATTCTTCCGGAAAGGGTTGTTGTTTGCCTTCTAGTAGTTTCTGACTCAAGTTCGACCCTGGATATGGTTTCCGAGGTGCAGCTGGTAAGTTTGAATTACTGACCTTGAGAATTGTATAGCCCTAAATGGAGAACGACTATAAACAGTAGCTTCACATTTTGATATTTTTGTTCAAAAAAAGTTTCTATAATTTTGTAGCAATGCTTGTTGACTTGTATGCACATGTATATGATGTGAAATGTCTATTTCCACTGTCAATTTTCAATCTAGTGGCTTGAATGGTCTTATCGTTGTTGTTGTTAAGTGCCATGGAGTCTGTTCCGACCCACAGCAACCCTGTATAGGATTTCTGAGGAGCTTGAAACGCTGACCTCATGGTCAAACCTACTTTACAGTCCAGCGCATTAAACCACGGTGCCACACCAGGACTCCAGTCCTATCATAGTGTATAAGAAGAAGGAATAAATATTGTTCTGGATTACTTCAATATTACATCAAGTTCCTTGATTTAACAATTGGTTTGGAAAAAACATTTGGATATTGTCTAAAGAAATCAACATTCCCAGATTTTCCAGAAAAAAATACTAAAACTGTATCACCCTTTGTTGTTAAGTGCTGTCGAGGCGGTTGCAACACTTAGCGAACCCTGTGTAGGGTTCCCTAGGAGTGTCTGGTGAGCTTGAACTGCCGACTTTGCAGTTCAAATGGTTTTGCAGTCTGGCACATTAGCCCACAGTGCCACACCAGGACTAGAAGCAATAAAGGACCAAATTCCTTTGGCTACTTGGAAAAGAGATTAGTTTTTGTTTTGGGAAAAATAACACGTGTATGGTCTTGAGTTGGTGTAACAATTTTCTTGGGGTTAGTATATCTCATTCTTGACTGGAGTAAAAGCATGAATATACAGTCTCTGGTTTTTAGAATTGGGAATCTCCGTTCAATTTATTTATAAGGGTTTGATAGCCGTTTTCAAAACGTTAATCACCTTGATAAGAACTCATGTGACTCCAGAATTCTCGGAGGGTTTGACTTTTAGAAGTCCTTTACTTAAACAAGGCTACTTGGTTGTCACATGGCTACTTGGCTGAATGTCTCTTGAGGATGAGTGAGTGCCATCTTGCTGTCTTTGTTTCAGTAACAGTTGTTGGTGCCACTGGGCCTCACCATCAGGCCTGCAGCATAAACTTCCTTTCTTGATTGGGTATAGGTCTTGAATGGGATGTGGGGGAGATTCCCCAAATTTCCCTGAGAAGTATAGCCAAGTTAATTGGGGAATGTTTCTTTGGAAAACCCATTTTTCCTGTTAAAAGTTAGATACTGGTTCTGAAACCAATTCATTTTTCATTAAAAATTTTAATAAATGTTTTTCCTTTATTTATTTATTTGCTGGCCCAGACAAACTTGACTAGAAAAGAAGCCCGGGGCATGGGTTAGGATGAGCTCATGACGTGCTAGGCGTCCCAACCAATTGAAATAACACAAAAGGGGGAGGGCGGAAGTGACGAGCCATATCCCTCCGCGGGGCGAGAGGGTCGGTGGGGGGAGTCGGCGTTTCTCTCCCCCGCGCCAGCTCCCGTACACGGAGCCGCATTCCTTGGCCCCCCCCACCCCCCTCCCTCGGGGCCCCCCCGCCCCCCCTCGGGGAAAAAAATCCACCCCAATTCACTCGAACCCGAGGGAGGTTTCCTTTCACCATCGGGGAGACGAGCTTTCAACGGTTTCTTCTTCTTCGTCTCCCCCCAAGCCCCCGTCCCCTCCCCTGCTCCCACCCCCTTCTCCCGGCGTCGGGTGCAAGGTCCCTTTAAGGCGACGGCGCCTTCCTCGGGTCAGACTACCGGCGGCGACGACCACGGGAGGTGAGTGAGCGAGCGAGCCTTCTCTCTCCCCACCCCCTTCTCCCGGGGGTTCCGTTATCTTTTCGTTCGGTGCGGCGTTCCGAGGCGAGACAATGAGAGGGGGATGGGACATGACGCGAAGGGGTGGGGGCGGGGGGCCGGTGGCGCGCGCTCCCGCCCACCGCGAGTGGCTGCGTGGCCGGCGGCAGTGGCTGGTGTGGGGTGCGGCGCGTGAGCGCGTGTGTGAGTGTGCATGTGCCCGGGAAGCCGCGCTGCGGACCAGGAGGTGGAAGTCTCCGCCGGCCTGCCGCCCCGACCCCCGGTGCCCGCCGCGACGCGCGCGCGCACTCGCGCCCCACGGTCCCACACACATCCCGACGTCCACACGCACGCCGGGCGCGAGGCATCTCGGAGGAGTGGGCGGGCGCGGGTGCGGGCGCGTGTGGCGGCCCGCTGGGGAATGGGCGGGGGCGCAGGCGGTGGCGAGACGGCGGGGCGCTGCGGGAGGGGGGTGGGGTAAGGAAGGCTGTGCTGGGGTGGCTGGCGGGCGGCGGGTAGTGTTCCCCTGGGGGCGGGGTGGCTCGTTCCTGGTCCTTTTTCTACCCTTATCCCTCTTGAGGAAGGAATGGATAGCACTTTCAGAGAAAGGAGGCAAAACTATTGACCGCTGAGCTGATCCCTTATGTTATGCAATTTCTACTTGGTCTCATAGTACATCTCAAGGCTTGGTATTCTCCAGTTAGTTTACAAAGTCCTTTCTCTTGGCCCTGAAATCTCTTTTGGGATGGCGCCGTGATTTATAAAATGGGATGGGGCGGAGAATCGTTATTATTCTGATAATCATATCCTGCCGCGGTAGGCGCCATGTTTATCTCAGGGACTATTTTTTCTAGATTCTTATCCCCGATTGAAAAGGAGTAAACGTTGTTTTCCACCTGCTTTCCATCCTTCCCGCGTGATGTCTAGATTCTTCTCCCGTCTAGCGCGGGGTATTCTTGAACAGTTAATGAAACTTGAAAGTTTTTCTGCTCACTTGTCTTGGGCATTTTTAGCTCAGAAAAAGGTAGAGTTGAAAAGGGCCTTGTAAGTCATCTTGCCCAGTCTCATTTGTGAGATTGAAATTGAGATGCAATTGTCTTACCTTAGTACAACCTTCTTGTGGCAGACTGTGGCCCTGTATTGTACACGCTTTTAGACACTCCCTGTCGTATCTCAAAATTTCACAGAAAGGGAGTTTTACTTCTAAAGGAATTTCCCCAACTTGATGAAGGGAAAACGGCATGGGGCAAGGAGGGCAGTTTTTTGGCGCATGACAATGAATTTCAAGATCCTTTGCTCATGGTTGGGAGATTTGGACTCTGAATCCAAACTAATTGGCGCAATCATTCATAACTTCATGGTGCACAAAAAGGTACGGTAAGTTACTAAGTGGGCAATTTTGGGTGCTTCATCCCCCCATGGTCTTTGTTGAATGGAATGGAGCAGAGTGTTATCTTCCACTACGTTTTAACTAGTAGCCAGCCCCTAAGATGATCCTGTTTAAGGTGACTGCCACATTGAGAATTACAGCATAAAGGTCTTCAGTGGCAACTGCGTCCTTGTTTTTTCCTCCTCTTCTGATCTGTGCTGTTGGCGTGTCCCAAATGTTAAAGACCAACAGCATAAGACGCTTGGGAAACAGGACTTCTAAGAGTTTCATTCTGTACCTTAAACCAGTGAGAGAACGTAGGAAAGCAGTTCTCTGCTGCCCTGGGAGATCCAAAAATGATTTCAGGGGAACTAGGAAGCCAAAACTGGTTTCAAAATAATGCTAAGACCTGTTTATCATTTTCGGTGGTATTTTCACAGATGGGTCAAAAGCAGTGCTGGCTAGAACTACTGATGATATTTTGTTGTTCTTGTTGTTAAAGTGCCATCAAGTCAATTCCGACCCATAGCGACCCTGTATAGGGTTTCAGAGGAGGAACTGGTGAGCTTGAACCGCCGACCTTGCAGTTCAAATGGCTTTGCAGTCTGGAGCATTAACCCACAGCTGCCACACCAGGACACCACTGATGATATTTTAGCACAAAGCAAAACAGCGACACCAAACTCAACTGAGAATGTCCAGATGAAATCATAAACATTCCTGATTTTGTTACATCTCAGCCTTTCAGTACAGGTTTTCAAGAATCTGTAGTGAAGTGAGAGGTATACATAACACTTATGCTGCTTATCAAGGCGTGATCATTCTTATGAGGTGGTCAGATTGAGTTGTGAGCTGAACTAACTATTAGCTCCTTGTTTAGTGGAACAGAGACGTTTGTTTTTTTTTTTAAGGAACAATTACAACAAACTAAAGTTTTTTAGATTTGACTGTTTGATAGATGCCTGTTTTCTGGAAAATGAATGAAAGTGAGTCTGTCACTTGAATAAAACAGTTGACAGTATTTGTTACTAGTGATAAAATCCAGGGAAAACTAGAAGGAAAATTGACACCTTGAATTTTGACAGTTTCCCAATATTTAAAATAATTCTCTGGTGATGTCAGTGGTTAGGGACTGTGGTTTTTTTGTTTTGTTTTTAATTGTATAATGAAGTCTGTCAATATTTGGAAGATCAAAATGAACAATTTAGTTAATCTATATTTTCCAAATGACTAATGTATAATGTTACAGAACCACATGTGGGTAAAGGAAAGATCATCTCAAAATGCAAGATAGACTATTGGATTTTAATGACTTTACAGGATCAAAAGTTGACTGGTAGGGTGTCAGATTCCACAGTGAATTCTTTAAAGTAAACTGTTTGAGTTTGGTATTGAAAAATAGCCACAGTTTTCCAAGTTATTAAAATACACCTTTTTCCTACCATAAATTTGTATGAGGGCAGATTTTCTTTTATAAAACCAAAACCTAAATAAAACCCATTACTGCTGAGTCAAATTCTGACTCAGACCATTTAGGACAGAGTAGAACTACCCCATAAGGTTGCCAAGGCTGTAAATCTTAATGGACGCAGATTGCCACATCTTTCTTCTTCCAAGTGGCTGGTGGGTTTCAACAGCTGACCTTTAGGTTAGTAGCCAGGTGCTTAGCCTATTGACTACCAGGACTTCTTTTCTTCATGTACTTAACCAAAATAACAGATTGGAGAAGCAACAATTTGAAAAATCCAGTTGTATTATGATATGTTGTGTTTTGTGCCATCAAATCGGTTCCTAGTCGTAGCGACCCTGTATAGAGATTCTAAGTAGTGGCTGGTAGGTTTGAACTGCTGACCTTGTGATTAGCAGTTTAGTGCTTATCTTATAGTGCCACATGAGTACTCCATATTATGCTTTAAGCATAGAATATTAGCAAAAATGTTAAACAATAAATATTTAGGAAAATGATTTTTTTTAAAGTTATTTTTTATTGAAAATGTTATTTGAAAATGAATTGATAAGTATTTTTAAAAAATTTATTTTGATATGGTAAATACCAGAAAATATAATCCAAATAAATAAAAAACTCTTCGGGGTCTTCAATAATTTTAAGAGTGTAAAGGAGAGCTCTCCAGCATAGAGATAGATGCTAAAGCAAATGGAAGAAATGAGGTCCAAGAGCTGAACAGAAAATTTCAAAGATCAGCTCGAGAAAATAAAGCCCAACATTACAACAAAATGTGCAAAGATCTGGAGTCAGAAAACCAAAAAGGAAGAACACGCTCAGCATTTCCCAAGATGGGGGAACTGAAGAAAAAATTCAAGCCTTGACTTTTGTTATTGAAAGAATTACTGGGCAAATTATTGAATGATGCAGAAAGCATCAAGGGGAGATAGAAGGAATACACAGAGTCACTATACCAAAAGGTAATGGTTAATGTTCAACCATTTCAAGAGGTAGCCTATGCTTAAGAGCCAATGATATTGAAGGAGGAAGTCCAAGGTGGATTGAAGGAATTGCAAAGAACAAGGCACCAGGAATTGATGGAATAAAAATGGAAATCTTTCAAGAAAGTGAGGCGGCACAGGAGGCCCTCACTCATCTCTGCCAGGAAATTTGGAAGACAACTATCTGGCCGACTGATTGGAAGAGATCCATATTTGTGCCCATTCCAAAGAGAGGTGACCCAGTGGAATGCGGAAATCATCGGACAATCTCTTTGATATCCCATGCGAGTAAAGTTTTGCTAAAGGTAATACAGAAATGGCTACAATCATACATTGACAGAGAACTTTCAGAGATTCAAGCCAGATTTAGAAGAAGCCATGGAATGAGGGATATCATTGCTGATGTCCGATGGATCTTGGCTGCAAGCAGAGAATATCAGAAAGATGTTTATCTGTGCTTTATTGACTATGCTAAGGCTTTCGATTGTGTGGACCATGACAAGCTATGGACAACATTGTGAAATATGAGTATTCTGGAACACTTAATAGTGCTCATGAGGAATCTGTACCTGGACCAAGAGGCAGTTGTTGGAACAGAACATGGGAACACTGAATGGTTTAAAATAAAAAAAGGTGTGCGACAAGGTTGTATTCTCTCACAATATTATTCAACCTGTATGCTGAGCAAATAATCTGAGAAGCTGGGTTCTATGAAGAAAAACGTGGCATCAGGATTGGAGGAAGACTCATTAACAAACTGTGATATGCAGATGATACCACCTTGTTTGCTGAAAGTGAAGAGGACTTAAAACATTTTCTGATGAAGATCAAAGATGAGCACAGCCTTCTGTACGGATTACATCTCAATGTAAAGAAAACAAAAGTCCTCACCACTGGACCAATAAACAACATTCTTGTTAATGGAGAAAAGATTGAAGTTGTCCAGTACTTTATTCTTCTTGGATCAACTATCAATACTCACAGAAGCAGCAGTCAGGACATCAGATGGTGTGTTGCATTAGGCAAATCTGGTGCACAAGACCTTTTTAAAGTGTTGAATAGCAAAGATATCAGCTTGAGGACTAAAGTGCGCCTGACCCAATCTGTGGTAATTTCAATAATCTCATATGCATGTGAAAACTGGACAGTGAACAAGGAGGACCGTGGA